ATGTTACCACTCCTTACCAACTACTTAAACAAGATAGAAAGGGGTCGAAAAGAATAACTCATCTTACTAGAATGAATCTACCTCATAATTTAATTTTACAATATGGGGTACGATTGATAGTTGACTTGTCATAACTAACTAATTCATATTGTGAAAAAAATTGAAGAAATGCTATAAATACGCATAATTAGATAGTCTAGTGGCGTTTGACAAAAAAAAAAACAGTCTAGTGGCAATACCTTAGTCATGTATTGAAAACATTTCCAAAATATTTGCAAGGCATTGTTGCTGTTTCATCTTTTGTTAACGAAATGGAAGTTCTGTATTTTAGGTCCATAATCTTCCTTAGATTCGGAGTCAGTTTACATATTTCGATTTAAAAATAACTCTATGTACCAATGATATATATATATTTTTTTTTTTGAAATTATATCAAATCTATGTCTATAACTTTGAGCGACACCACTTCTTTCAAGCTGTTCATGAATCGATCCATTCTTTTTTTTTATATAAGTAGCTCTGATCAGAATTTCAATCTTATTCTACAACCGCTACTGGAATATGGTTATGCCACCAAAACTTTTATTTGCATTTTATTTTGGTTTTGTGCATGCAAATTTTACTTGATATGATGAGGTTAAATCTAGAAATTATCCATGTCATTGGAAAAGTATTAAACATTTTTTACCTTATTACACTGTTATTACTTACAAAATTGATTAGACAAACACATTAAAGTTCAAGTAATTTGTATGTATTTGCACAATACCGCTTTCATCGGGATAAATTAAGACCTAATCCGAACTCTTAAAAAAAACGATATTGTCGCTTTCTTTTTAAAAAAATAATAATTTATAATTGCCTTATTGGAAACAAATTTCTTATAGTTGTCTGAAATTATTTATAATGATTCGGGAAGAAACAGAATGTAAGAAAAAAAAATATAGTAACTAATAAATTGGAGTGTTTCAAAAAAAAGTAATAAACTGGGTGTCACGGTCACGAACATATTCCTTGATACTGTAATATTGTCAATAATAATTTTTTTAAAAAAAAATCAATAATTGAGTTGGTAATGTGTTGTTTACTAATCCTTTTTAGAGCATGACACTGTTATACCAACTGCAACTTAATTTAATCACAAGAAGCAGCTTTTCATGCATATTTCGATTATAACACTAAAATAAGCTGGTACTTACCGTTGGCCCATGGTTTCGAATATTATCCGAAGTTTAACTTACATACGCAATTTCAGGAAAAGCTTGGATTAAGTATGTATTCACTCTGTAATCTCTTTGATTATAAAATAAATGACATATAAGGATCACTAAAAGAAAATATATGAACGAGCTTTTTTAAGAGATCTTACATTTATTACTAGTGAGCTTGCTGTTTAATTACATGATGACAACAATAGTGATTGGTAATAGCTGAGAGCACCATGTATTTCTAAACCACCAAATTCACATCAATTAATCTTTAATAATTTTGTAAAAACCACAGCTCATGAAATAATCTACAGCTGTACAAATGTTTTCTACAGCCAAATATTCAAAACAATTTTTTTGAACTTTCCATATAATCTACAACAATAAAATCTAAAGTTACTAAAAAACTAAAACATTTTTTCTACAGCTAAAATTTTAAAGCTACAACCATAACCAATCGGCCTCGTTAACATGTTAGTAATTGCTAATTTAGCTCTGTTCTCTTTAAGAGCATGAATATTAATCTTAGTCGGATAATTAATTAGCTGTCTTGATGATCTAATAGTCTCTCTTTTTTAGTCTCGTATGCTATATATATTCATTCATTAGAATAGGACAAGCTACAAAGCCTAAATCATTAGGGTGTTCGTTAAGACGTCAACTAGAGAGCCGTGGCAGTATGTGATGAGTCATCTAACTACTTACACATTTACGTACCTCTTGGATAATTCCAATTGCTTGTGTAACGATGATTTTTCATATTACTTTTTACAATTGGGAGTATCTTTCTTTTCATCTTGGCTCATTTTTTAAAAAAGTGTTAGTAACAGAATTATCACTTTATTCATTTCAAAAATTACTGTGTTGTTTCATCAAAATACTTCATATGGTTACATTTTATAATATATTTAAAATTTATAAGAACTCAGATTTATTTTGAAATTATTAGAGCCATAATTTTAGGAACAATTTGAGTTTATGTAATCTTCGGGTCAATCGCTAGTTGTCATCTAAATTATTTGAGCATAGAGTTTTGAGTCTTGACGCCTCTAATCAGTCACATGGTATTTAGCCATGATTAAAGGAAACAACGTCGGCTCCATCATCTTCTCTTATATTCGGTTTTCTGTATTGACGGTAAACAGTTAAAGGAATTTTAAAACGTCTTTAGAGAATTTCGACCTCTGAATACCCTTAAACACATGATCATCTGATTTTATAAATATTCAAACTTAACAAGATTTGGTAGGGAATCCCGATAAAATATCACATTTGCTTCTGCTAATCAGATACTAGATATGTTATTATTATTTTTTGCTAACGATTTCAGTTCCATAGATATTATCAAAAATAAAAAGAAACTTAAACGTTGACTATATCTTTATTCTTAATTTCATTGGTTTCTAAGATCGTTTTAATTTTTTGTTTGCTTTGGCATAATGATGTTTTTTTTTTGTTCTCATGATCTTTTTTTTTCTTCAGCTTCTCATGATCTCATACAACTTTCTAAATCGACAAAACTCATACAACTAAATTAGCTATGAATATTTTTATATACACGAGTCACTAGGACCAGAGACATATAATTTTCTTGTTCAGATATATAAATGTCAGAAATACTTATCTAACATTTTCTAATGTGCCCATTTTAAAAAATAGATATTACTAACTGAATTAATATAAAAAATTATATTAAACAGCAATCTAAAAAAGAAACAATCAATCCCTCACAACCCATGAGCAATGCTTCAACGTACGATTCAGATCAGATACGGGAACAGCTGAGTCTCGACGTGATTAACCGCTCTTCAGCCATGCAAGTAACCAACACGTGCCTTCGCAGCCATCTTGAATTTGTTTTGTTTCCATTTAGGCAGCTTGTAGAAAGCTTCTTTCGTCATGCCAAACTTCTCTTTGAACTCCTCTGATGAAAGGTGAGCCTATATTGAACATAAACCAGAGGACCCAGTTAGAAGAAAGTCATGACTTGAAAGATGACTATACAACTCATCATCCAAACCGGTCAACATCATCTCAAGTCAAACCCAGTCAAAACGTTATCACTCATTATCAATATAACCCACTGCAAATAAACCCAAAAAGAGCAGACTTGTGCTACATCGGAAGTAGGGTTTATCTAAATTGGGCAGAGGTATTTGCATCCTCCATTATTACTCACGGTCCATGTATATGGGCAGTGACAGCAAAACTTGGAGATACGTTTCCTGGTTTCAGATATGCTTTATGTCCTCTCTATATTTTCTAGAATGTTTATATGAAGAGGGAATATAAAAGAGATGAGATAATGAAAAAGACTTAATGAGAAAATAAAATATATAAATGAAAAATCAAAATAAGGAAAATATTTGTAAAGAAAAAGGAAGAACCTACTCGTATAAACAGAGGATGAGAGATCCTTCTTTATATTCATTCAAGCATAAACAGAATCCGAAACAAAGAAATTAGGGCACCTGAAAACATAAAATATAGAGAGTCGTCAAAAGAAAAACCCGATGAAGAATCCATGCGACGTTGAGGAAGAGCCATCTACGAAGAAACTGAAGCTGTCTTCATCATCTCCGAGTGGGTTATCTATGTTGCCGGATGAGATGGTTCTAAGTTGCTTGGCCCGCGTCTCAAGATCGGACCATGCTTCCTTATCTCTCGTCTCCAAGTGGCACCGTTCAGTAGTGACTTCGCCTGAGTTATACGACTTCCGATCCCTTTTAGGCTTCACCGAAAACCGTATCTATCTATGCTTACGCATCCCTCCAGACCCAAACCCACGCTGGTTCACCCTCTCCCCAAAAAACCTTAACAACCGGCGGCGGTTGGTCCCAGTGCAATCTTATTTTCACCAGCCTCCGGAAGCATCTTCCATGGTGGCTCATGGTAGTGGGATCTACATCATGGGTGGTAAGGTTGGCGGGAGAGCCACGTCGCGTGTATTGTTTCTGGATTGTAGAACCAACACGTGGAGCACTCTCCCCTCCATGGGGGTGGCTCGATATTCAGCCGTGGCGGGGGTGGTGGACGGGAAGATATACGTGTTGGGAGGGTGCGAGTGGTCCAGCAGGTGGGGAGAGGTTTTCGACCCAAAGAAGCAGACATGGGAGGCCCTGCCGAAGCCACCGCATGAGTGTAATTTTCCCTTAGTATGTGAAAGCATAGTGACAGAGGAGAAGGTGGTTGTTTTGAATGGCTTAGGGATATGTTTATTCTACATACCAAGTGAAAGAAAATGGAAAAAAGGGTTTAGGGAAATCTCCGGAATCAAGAGGTGTTGGCATGTGATAGAGAATGTCGTCTACTGTAGTGAAAGTGGTGGGCGGATATTGTGGTGCGAGCCAAGTGAATTGGAGAGGGATGTGATGAAGTGGAGAGAGGTGATGGGGTTGGAAGCTCTCAAGGAAACTCTCGCTGCCTCCAAGCTGGTTAACTATGGTGGACGGGTGTCGGATCAGTGGGAGGTATGTAGAAGATCGGAACCATTTTTAACGTTGGGACTCTGGATAATGGAGGTCGATGAAATATTTCCCGGGCACAAACTGAGCAACTCTGGTCCCAACATGTTGATTTTTTGGGACGTGCTTTCTCCTCATAAGTTGGAAATTTGGTGTGCGGAGATCTCTTTGGAGAGACATAAAGAGAGCGGGGAGATTAGAGGAAACATTGTGTGGTCTGAAGCTGTCATGACACTCGATCCTCCTTCACATCAGCATCATTGTAGGATTTTGTCTGCTCTATCTCTCAACCTCTGACCAAAAACTCTATGTTGGATTTGTTTCTCTTTTAGGTCTATGAAATTCTTCTTAACATTTTGGGTATGTGATTGAAATTTTATTTTGGATATTTTTCTTTTACTTGTTAACCTTTTTTTTTTTTTTTTTTTTTGAAACACAGCTTTCATTAAAAACTTAACATGGAGGACTACAAAGATAAGAGGGAATTAAACATCCTCTTGAAGACAAATCATAACATAAAATGAAAAATGA